CTCTGCCCTATATAGGGATGGTATGAGTGAAGATTAGCTCTTTGGCACACAAAAATAATAACATTAGTCATCTGAAAGTAATTGTGAGCCTTAGAATTTTCTGGGAAATATTAGACTGATTTTAAAATTAAGCATTTGGCTTTCTCTTCTCTATCTGCCTGTGACAGTTAGGTTTATTGTGCCAACTAGACCTCCGTAGGACCATGTGGGTGGAGTTTAATCAGGTCGAAGTTTGATTGGAAGGTGACCGGTGATCAGACCAGTATGCTGCTGTTTGAACTAGTTCTGTGTCTCAACTACGTGCTGTAGTACAAGTGGGCCAAGCCAACCCATGGATTATGCTGCTGAAGTTTGAACCTCCTTCAGGACGAGCTTTACCTTGATGCTGGTCTGTGCATCTTACTTTACTTGAGCTTAAGGCCGTTGGATCGTGTTGCTGTGTGTACAATGCTTGAGTTCAAGATTCCATCAGGACCTGCTTCACTAAGCTCCAGGCACTATTGACTGTTGTTGCCCCACCCTGACTCTGGCCTAAGGACAGACTCCACTTTCTGCTTCCTTGATCTTGGACTGTCAGCCGGAGTGCATTGAAGGACTTTCAGTATATTAACTATTCTAAGAAAGGGAGTTGAACTGAGCCCTCTGTACTGCTCTGTGGACTAATTATCTGTTATATTTCTTCTCACTGTATAAACCTATCCATGATCATAAGTGTCCTGGTTTTGTTTCTCTAGAGAACCCTGCCTAACACAATGTCTTGTGGACTTTTGCCAAAAAATTATACACGACCAATGATTTTTATGGTCTAAAAAGAGACACTGAGAACAGAAAAGATACCAACATTTCATTCAGGAGCACAGAATTTTCTTTAACTTTTAAAAATCTGAAGATTGTGAAGGCTGGGAAACTTCAGCAGAAGAGAAATCTTTAAAGATTATTATCTTGGGATACACGAATCTACTTTAACTTCAGCAACATTAATGGACTGAAAATTCAAAGCCATTAAAAATGCCTGGTGGTATATGTGAATAATACTTAACAGACTGCCTCCAGACAAATCTCATGGGTTGTTAAACTCTGAAATCATTACAAGCATCATAACGAGTCCTTAGCTTTTCATATTAGAAGCAGAATTCTACTTTGTCATCTAGCGGGAAATTATCTATTATATACTGGTGTTTCTTAATTGATAATGTGTGGGTCGAGTAGACCTTAGTTTCTCATTCTGGGGCTTTAGACAGGTAAGTTAAAGTCCATGCGAATCAATTTCCTCACCTGTAAAATCAGTCTGTGGGTCAGCACCCCTGCTTCACTGATAGCCTATACGTTCATTTCAACAGGCAATCTTTCCCCTAGTGACTGTGATACGTTGAATCTGCTACCTCAATTTGTTATTTTCCAGTCCTGGGGGCACTTACAACTTAAAATGAGCCATCTCAATGCTGTTGATGAACACAGAGCTGAGACTAAAGAATAGAATGTATTTAGAGGTATTTCACCTCAACTTCAATATCATTTGCAAAGAGCCGCCAAACTCCTTAGTACCCTTTCTGACATAGTGATACCGATGCTCTACTTAGGCTTCCTTTCAAAGACAATTTTTTCCAATTGCATGGAAGACAGTTA